CTGACAGTAAGTTTGCAAAACTGACTGAACTTTACCTTATCCGACAAAAACCAACTGTGACTGTGCAGCAGTAAATACCAAAACACGCCTGTTATTGATGCGGCCCGTGATAAAAATCAAAGTTGAAGTCAATAGCTAAGCTGTCGAGCAAGCGAACAGGCAACTACACTGATAGACTGAAGACATTCATCAAGAGGATTGGATAGTCGTATTCACATCACAGAATTTAACCTTTTTGGTGTTCGAGTTGCACTAAATAATCTGTTTCTTTTTCACGGTCAAAATCTCCTATCTGGTTCGGAATCTGTACGCATGTAACCATGCTCGAATTCTGTTCTACAAGAGCTGAACACGGGCCCGAGTGGGTTAAATCAGTTTGATTTTCCAATGATTAGTGGTCTTGAATTTCTCACACACGTTCTCTTGATCGAATTAATCCTTTTTAGGCATAATATATCATTATTTGGTGCCTGAAGAACTGATAGTTGGTAAAAATGAACTGTGTGTTTAACAGTCATCCATCATCCTACTGTGGTAAATTCCCCCAAGAATGCATTTCAAACCAATTACCTGCGGGATTTGTCGAGTCACCGGATTCGTCTCATTCATAGTCTGATCATTCCAGTTGGAAATCCATTCGGTATCGAAAGGCATGTTGAAATTGTCCCGGTTCGGCGTGTTGACAGACTAAGGGAGGGGGGTGAAATCACGAAAAGAAATAAGTAAAAATTGTGACTGTCACATGCTTTGAACAATCTACGAATCAGTACATAGTAAGTAATGATGTGTGTGTGTTCTCTTAATTTTTGTGGATTCACTTAACATCTTCCAAAACCCTTAGCCTAAAACTATTCGTACAATATACGTTCGGAGTTCGTTCTACGTGGATTTTGTGAATTCTATCTTACAGATACATGGTTGATTCCACGGTGCTCATTATTATTCCATAACTTAACTACAGATATCTTTGTAAAATATTCTATCTCACACAAATGCATTTCTTTCACTGCAGAAGCTTGTCTGCATCGGTTGATTTGACACCGGTTGAATTAGACGACACGAATCCGAACCCCACACACCTAATATGTTCCGTCGTTTGCCTCGGAATGCCACATCCTAAATCACCAAGTGTCAGGGACATGCGGTCTAATAGGGATTATAGGGACTAATTCACCTGGGGTGGCTAAACTATTTTTAGCCATTCTGTGCTAGACCCGCTGATTATGAGAATGAATCAAATGAACAACCAATCACTGACATTCCTTTCGACTCTGTTTCAACTACTCAGAAATATCGATTATCCGATAAGGTGGGAAAGCGAAGGAGAAGTTATTCCCTGCAGTAATGAAAAAGTTGATTGAACACCTTGCTATGCAAAGAACTACCTAATGCGCCATGAGATCACAGATTATTATACTATGTAAACAGTTCTGAACCAAAAAGACAAAATTAGGTAATAAGATTCTAGAATGAAAAGAAATAATTGATAACATCCCCATAACTGCCGTACGAGAAGTGAAATCCAGTCGACTGGGAGAGAGAGAGGACTATCAATATTCGTTCAATGCGTATACAGTTATTGATCAAACTGGGGCAACATTATTCTCATTTTTAAAATAATTTTCAGTATCCGATATTATATCATATACTGATTGCTATGAGTGAAGTGTATCTCTATCAAACTTTACATCCGGCCTCTTTATTCTTAGCTCTCTTCTATCACCGTTTAAATTTGCGCGACATTGAGTTTATTGAGAGCGTTTGGTAGGTTGAACACACGCTTGTCTTTTTTCATTCATTAAATAAGCCAATTGACATGATGAATTCGTCATGTAAATGAGACGTGGGATCCGAATCCACCAGGCATGGACGACGTCTACGCTTTGTACGCGCACGCTCTACCAGCTGAGCTACGAGGCCGCACCGATAGCACTGATCTTTTCACATTCGAATTTACACACCCCACTGACAGAGGCA